GAAGGCGAAGTTGCGTTCTCTTCGTGCGTAGGCTGCTTCTCGATTGGCAAATCGGTCTGCCTGGAACTACTTCAGGGTGTCCTTCATAGAAGAGGACGTCCCAGGAAGGTACGACGTTGGAGTTTTCCAGGTCCAGGATCGTCCATGCTTGATATTCGTGTTAGATCCCGAGGTGTACGCCCCAACAAGCTCGCCTTTCGAACATCCCAGTGGCAGCCTGAAGAGGTCGGTACTGGACCAAACAACCCCAGACTCACAGCATAGTGGTGTCACGTGGCTTTCCTTTCCAAGCCAGCAAAGGAGACATATTCCTTTTGTTGGTAGTGGTGGACAGTAGGTTGTGCAGACGTACTGCGTGGTGTGTTGCATAGGGCTAGTAGTCTGTGCGCAATTCGGATTGGAGCATCATTGCGCGTACTATGGTCTATAGAGTATAGAGTGCAGTTAGTCCATTCAGCGACACCTTGCTGTAGGTGAGCGTAAGGAAGGGACAGCCTGTGCTCGATCTCGAGTTCTTGGAGGTGGGTATGTAGCTCCTTAGTCCGGAACTCTCGAGCTCCATCCGTCTGTCAGTACTTTAGTTTCTTTCCAGACTGGCACTCAGCAAGAGCGAGCCAAGGTCGGAAGATGTTGAGTACTCCCCCCTCTGTTTTAGAAGTTGATTGCCCAGACGTAGCAGGTGGCAGCGTTGATGAAGGTCAGAGTCTACTGCTCCCCATGGAGCCTCACTTGTGTGAGGACTACTGTAGGTAGTCACTGTAGACGTTGTCCAACGAGGTATAACGATTTGGGCAGCGTGGATGATCTGGGAATGGACTGTGTGTGAGGGCAGCTTCAGGGCAAATTGTGCAGGTGCGAAGGGCTTTGTCGACTTGAAGCTCGTGTCCGTCAAAGTCTATAAGTATGTCAGGGGCGAAGACGTTGGCCCTAAGCGATTTGTTGAGGGTGACTCTGGAAGGGTGGCCGAGTCGCTGGTGCCAGATGTCCCTGGAGGCGCAATGTCATCGAGTGCACTGATATTACTGGCGGGAGACATCAGGGGGAGGTGCCGGTTGTTCGTTTGCGAATGCAAGAGTTGTGATTGTGAGAGCAAGGAACTCTTGGTTGACGAGGTCCACAGGGATCTCTCTATCTCGAGGAGAGACATTTGGTCCGGCTGCGCTCTCGTCTAGCTCTTCAGAAGCTGTTATCGAGCGAGGAAGGTGAGGCTGTGGATGACCCTCGATGGTTCTCGTCTCTGGAAGAGCAGCTTTGTTGTAGGGTCCAACTGGGGTTAGTGAGGGTGAGCGCTATGAGGTTCGAGCGGTGGAGATCCGTGGTAGTGGTGCCAGAGAAGTGGGTTCTTGTCAGAGGGAACTTCGTCGTATTCGGCCCAAGTTCCAGGGGCTTGAGGAGTGCGGTCAAGGAGAATGTACACGCCTTGTGTGGTTCTCCCCCTTTCCTCTTCGTTGTCCTTCTCATCTCCCCCGCCATACCAGATGTCATGATTGAGATGCCAGCATCCGGTGGCTGGGTTACGGACCCAGGAAACCTCGGGCCTGTGCCCCACCCTTCAATGATTGGTGCGTTTTGCCAAGCTAATTGGGTAGGGCGGCTGCCCAAGGCTGTGCTAGTTTCTGATACTGCACCTCCTCCCTAGGTTCCCCTGCCTTAGCTTTTTGAATTGCCCCATCCCCCTATTGCTCTGTAGGGCTGTGCACCGATCGGGTTCGGGTGTCTGTTGTGGGGGTTTTGGTTGAGCCTCCTCTACCGCCGCTCCTTCTGCTGTTGCTGCCTCTGCTGCTGCTGCTGCTTCTCGTGCTGCTGATGCTACGATCATGGTTGCCTCTGCTGCTTTGACTGCCTTTGGTGATGTCGGATCGTGCCGAGCAGCAATGGTCCTGAGAGAGCTTGCCCATGCATCCATCTCGGATGCGAGTTTTGTAGCCAGATCTGCTGCTTTCCGTGGTGTGGCCTCTCTCCAGTTGAGGTTGAAGGCCATGTGAGTGGTTAGCTTCCATGGGCTTGCTCTTCCAGTTTTGTCAAAGGAGCTTGATCCCACATAGACCAGAACGCTCTCCAGGCGTTGTCTGGAATCATGAGAGAGGTCCGTTGTTCCTAGAGGAGGAACGATTGTGATGGTTGCAATGAGTTTCTGGAGCGGTCATGCTGACCGCTGGAGCGAGGAGGGACTCCATCTCGTCTTCATCAAGAGTTTCGAGTCCAGTTCTAGGTAATTGGATGGAGGAGGCTATCGGCGTTCGACAGGTGCGGCAACTGCCATCTGATCCAGGGTCGTGCAGGTCAGTTTCAACTGGGTGCATGTGATGAGTGACCCACGGGCGGCCGTCAGAGTGAGTCCACTCCTTCTCATCCTTCCATGCGAAGTTGATGGGGACAGGGTCGATCAAGTCGTGGATGTCTCCGTTGAAGTTGGGGATGTCGAAGTCTATAACGTAGACTCCGTCAACTGCCATTGCCAGGGGTAAGTCCATCGAGTATGATCGCCACGAACATGTCTTCAGTGATCGTGTTCACAAACTTGACGATCTGGTCGCGGATTCTTCAACATTGGTTGATGTAAGCATTAGCATTTTCTCCATAAACCATGTTCACTTCTAGTAGCTGGCCGAGTAGTTGACTCGTGCCGGAGCGTTGCGCGTTTTGAACGATTGAATTCCGAGTTGCTCGGAAGCGGAAAGGTTCCATAGGAGGACGCTGTACGCCATGAGCGATTCGTCGTAGTATAACTGCTTTGCATCGTCGGTGTCGATTGTTGATCCGGGGGAAGAGCCGTCGAAATAGCAAAAGATTTGAGCGCTCCGTAGGAGAAGCTCGAACTCGAAACTCCAAGTGTAGAAATCGTGACCTTCGAAGGTGGAGCTTGTTATATTCTTTGAAACAGTGAAGAACTTCAATTGTCTACAGGGCTTCGTCACATAATTGTATGCTTGCAGATGATTGTGTGTTGGAAGTGTCGAAGTTGAAGAAGTTAGGAGTGGAGTCCTTGTCTGCAGAGGTTGGTTGCGTTTCAGTAGTTTAGCGTCCGGTGCTCAAGCCGTCAATCTTGAGAGATTGTAGACGATCTTCAAGAGTTGTCATTCGTTGGAGTAAAATTTCGAGGATTTCTGTAACGACGAATGTTACCATCGGATACGGAGTGTTTGCAGATGCTTCAGGAGGAGGCTTCCTTGCCCTCGTGATCCCGAGCCTGGGGCCATTATGTAGTGGGAGCGAGTCACCTGCGTCACGATATTTTAATTTGAAACTGATTAGAAAGTGCCGTGGATAGAATCCTGATAGACTCTGCTTACCATAAAATAATCCAATATAGTCAATAGGATCTTCAGGATTGAACTACAGTAGTGCGCTTTGCGGAAGCGATTGATTGGTCGATGAGTTCTGTTATAACGAATGTTATTTAACATTGTTGATTATAGCAAAGGGATACATGATTCATATAGTAATACAAGATAATGCGGAGGGTTTAAAGCCCGCGGCCCAAATTGTTCATACACACTGCGTATGAACTGTGAGCCTCAGCTTGGACGAAATACAGAGTTAAATCGTGAGGGTGTTTCATCTCGCGAATTCGCAATTCGTCGTAGATCGTCCGATTTGCAAGCAGGTAGTGCAACGGCTGAGATTACATTTCGATTTACTGGGGGAAGCACTTGACTTGCGCGCCGTCAGATGGAAATCCCTAAATATTGGACGGCTAAAAAACACGAGGCACTGGGTGTCCCAAAATACGTTCCGCACTGAACTTGAAAGCCAGCCCCGAGTGACGCGAGTCACGTTACCCCCATCTTCACCCACGAAAACGTGACTTTCAAACGCAGTGCGTTTGAAGGTCGCGCCTTGCAATTTGGGCCGCGGGCTTTAACTAGGATGCACTTGAGAGGGGTACATTCCCTTTGAAGTTCTAGGTCCGACTCGGGCAACCAGACAAAATTTATATATTGGAATCACCGCAGAATCAAAATACAACATATTGAGGTCGTCTGAAGTCTCAAAACGCAATACCTTTTCAAGTTTAGTGGGCAAATCCCGTTAATTATAATTTTGGGTTAGGTGGTTTGATTTGGTTGTCGAGAGGGTTTAGTGCACTGCATATTGCAAGTGAACGGCTCTTTGGTTGGCTGAAGTTCCTCTGCCTGCAGAATTCACGGAAAAACGGATGTGCTGGATTCAACTCGTGGATGGCATGATGTAGGGATGAAGTGGACACACCAGGAAGCTCCATGTTTCTGGTCGGTGCTGAAATTGACCTAATCCATCGTGCTCAATCACCACACACTTTTCACCGACTCACGCGAAACACGTGGGAAAGGAATGGTAGCCACAGTCGGTGGAAATTTTCTTTGAAATTCAAGGTTTCACATGGCAACTGTTGCCACGGTGTATGGTAATCCAAATTCTGGTGACAGGCTTTCGGACCGGACTTACAGTGGATTGTTCCCCAGCAAAACACAACACAAACACTCTAAACTGGTCAGTAAAGCCTTCATTTTTATAAAGTCACATCAACGGAAAATCCAGCTAGTTGGTTGTTGTTTTGCAACAACGTTTTTTGTTGGGGCTGAAAATCAATACGACCAGTCAGCAAACCAGATTCACCGCTTATCACAATGAGACGCGGATTTTGTGATGCCCCCAACCGCGTCTTTTGCAGACCTGGCATAGAAAAACCAACAAGCCAATGAAAATCCGCGCCGCACTCCGCGCATACACCACACCCACCCTCGCTGTCGCCACTTCCCCAACTCTTCTCTTGCAAGCAGCTGACGAATTGCAGGATCCACAATTCGCAAAGTTCGCTGAGCCGCTTCTGCTCCTGGCGCTGGAAGGTACTGGTAACTCACCGTCAACTACATTCTTCCTTCCGCGAAGCAGCATGCCCTGACCGAGAACATTCCCGTTCCGTTCGACTCCCTGCTTTCCCCCAGCCCCAGTCGCGGCGTGCGGATTTTTTTCCCACAAAAGCGTTGGCGGTCCCTCTCAATTCCGTCAAGTTATTTTCGGAGACTTTTTGTTCGTTCATCTCGTCCTTTCTGTTTTCCCCCCCGCCTCCACCTCCTCTGCTGCTCCAGTGGAAAGAGGGTTTCATCTCCCACCTTACCACCCTCATCTTGTCGTCGCCTGCTCGCTCGCTGCCTCTTTGGCTGTATCTCCAGCACTCAGCTGCTTGCCGTCCATCTCTGCATCAAGACCAAAGGTCAAGAAGAGAAGCGTGGAGGGGTTCAGAGCCAAGCATTCAACAGCTTCTCTCGTCTCATACCGCTGCGGTGACCGCAGCCTTCGGAGGTTGGCTTTCAGCCACACACACCCGTCTTTCGAGGATCTATTCGGGGTGTCATTTGAGCTCCTATCGCCTGCACTGCATCGTCCCGCCTCCGCCTCCCCCGCTATCGACGACCTCCGTCAAATATTTCCCTCCACGCTTTCCGCGCGCGCACCTTCCCGCCAGTGCACCTCCCCACCAGATCATCTGCCTCCCGCCAACGCCCTCCCCGCCATTGCATCCCTCAACATCGCTCCGCGACAGCAGCTGCAGCATCCATCAACCCTCTCTCCATTCGGGTCCTCAAATTCCCGACTGGCAATTCTCGCCGACCCGTATCGGGAACCACACAGCATCGAGTCTTAGAGTCTCCCCGCGGAAGGAAAAGGAGCCCGTGTTTGGGCCGCGGAACTATTGACCACGTGCGTTCAATCAAGTTTTTGTCAGGTGAGCTCTCCCTACCGACGTGCTTTTCCCGCGGTCGTAAATGTCGCCACGTTTTGCGACTGCCTCAGACGTTTTCACGCGGACCTAAATGGTGCCACGTTTTGAGACGTCTGAGAGCTTTCGCGGGGCCCAATGCCGCCACGTCGCCATTGCGTTGTCCGCCACTACTTTTCCATGCGGCCTGTCCGTCCTGCGAGTATTCGTGAGGGGATTCGCGAGAAGATTTGCGAGGAGTTTCGCGAGGAGTTTCGCGAGAAGATTTGCGAGATTCGACACCACAGAATTTCGACACCTCTTTGTCGCCGCGCTCCCCGTGTCGGTGTTGCGATTTCCAAGTGTTCGCGTGCATCGTTGTCTCTCGCCGCTTATCACAGAGCACACCTCTTATCACCGACACCGCCGCGCCGCTCTTATCACTACCCTTGCTTATCGCGGCCTACACCGTTGCCGCATCTCCCCTGCTTGTATAGTCTCTTAGTCTTACATTCTATATCACGTACTTCCCGTTACGGTTCCTATCATTCATTCCATTATTCTACGGTCGACGACGATTTCTCCACTCGACTATCCTCATTGCGAAGTTCCCCTGTGTTCGCCCGGCCCTGTGTTTCTGCCAGTGCATTTTCGTGAAGCGTCGCTCGGAGCGTGTCAGCAGCTTCATTCTGGAATCATGGCTTGCTCCGAGAAAGCGAACCGCGGCGCAACATCTCTCGTCTGCGTCCTCGTTATTAGCCTGCTCGCTCTCTGTCTCACGGGAGCTGCCGCGGCTGCGGCGGCGAGTTGCGAGGTGTCAACCCTGTCGGGTTACCAGCACATGAAAGACCTGACGGGGCAAGGGTAAGCCGGCTAATGGGTTCTGAGTGGATTCGGCTTCGACGCGACATTTCAACGTTGCATCATTTGCGAACCCTAGTTTCCCCTCCCCCGCTTAGCTCGCCGCCCATTCTCGCGTTATAGCGTCTCCTGACATTAGGATAGCATTATGGTGGGGAGGAATTTCTAAGGCGTTTATTTTGATCACCTCGCCTTCCCCCTCCCCTTTTCCCGAATCGCGACCAGATTCATTCTCCACTAAGCGTTTTGGATATGGCCGTCGAGACGAAGCCGGGGAGCGGAGCCGAGAATGGCCGGAAGGCAAAATCTAGGAAAATGACGTCCTTACTCACCGAATTTCCCCTCCTTTTCCTGATTCTCGACCAGATTCATTCTGCACTGGGCGCTGTCGACCCCCAACCAATTGGACATGGCCGTTGAAGCGAAAAAAGGGAGCGGCGCGGAGAACGGGTGGATGTCGGTGGGGTGGTCCGCGAACGGGAAGATGTTTCCGGCGGATGCTGTGATTGGTAACCTGCCGGGTGTAGCAGTCGGCGCTTATGATATTTCCGGATATGATGCGTCCGAAATTGTTGCGTCGAAAAAGTTTGGGATCTCGCGCGCGCAGCTGAGCAGCACCAATGGCGGCAGCACTATTATCAAGTGAGTGACCTACCCTCGACGGCGGATTTAAAGCCTGCTCCCTCCCAGCCCATGGCTGATTGCTCCTCTCATTGTGCTTAGAAATATATCTCATTGTTCCTCCTGCTCATCTCGTCCTTGGATCCCCCTCTCGGACCTCCCGTAGTTTCTCATGCCCACCTTCCCCTCTCTTGCGTCGAACGTTCTCTCTCACCCAAGGAGACGGGAGGCAACTCCCCGCTTACCCTCACAGGTGCAGCCACCAACACGCTCATCTGGGGCTACTCTGCTGCTGCCAGCAAGGCCCTCAATCTCTCCCTCTCTCCCTCTCTCCCTCTCTGTCACTCCCTTGCGCGTCAGGTTCTCTCGCACTCAGGGCGACGGAGGCAACTCCCCTCTCACCCTCACCGGGGCCGCCACCAACACGCTCATCTGGGGCTACTCTGCTGCGAGCAGCAAGGCGCTGGACTACCATATCACCTTCCGTGGCGCTGCTAAGGTCAGCTTCAACTGCGGTGGGAACTCCAGCGCTGCTTCCGGCGCTGGTGCTGCCGGCAACAGCACTGGTAGCAGCACTGGTGCTGGCAGTGGCAGCAGCAGCAACAGCACTAGCAGTAGTGGCAGCAGCAGTGGTGCCACGTTGCCCGCCTGTGCCGTGTCAACCCTGGCGGGATACGACCACTCCAAAGACCTCACTGGGAACGGGTGAGTCAACGCTGGTCAACTCTTTTCAATCCTGGTCAATGCTGGTCAACATCCATTGTGGTCAGCTGGTCAATGCTGCCTTGCTGCTCCGTCAACTGAGCTTGCTTCTTCCTCCCCTAACCGCCCTCAGGTTCCTTTTGCACTGGACCCTCACCTCAGCTGGCCAGCTGGACATGGCGGTTGAGGCCAAGGCGGGGAGCGGGGCGGAGAAGGGGTGGGTGTCGGTGGGGTGGTCAGCCAATGGCAAGATGTCTCCCGCAGATGCCGTCGTTGGGAACCTGCCAGGAGGGGCTGTGGGCGCGTATGACATCAGCGGCTACGATGTGTCCAATGTGCTGGCGTCAACCAAGTTTAAGATATCCAAGGCGTCGACAGCGACTAGCAACAGCGGCAGCACTGTCGTCAAGTGAGCTTTCACGAATGGAACCGGCTTGCTCGTCTGGCTCTTTCTTGCTCTTTCGCGCCACCAGCACGCTCCTCTGGGGCTACTCTGCTGCTGTCAGCCAGGCCCTCAAGCCTCCTCCTCTCCTCCTCTCTCCCTTGCTCCGTCCCTCGGACCCCCTTTCACCCCAGGTTCTCTCGCTCCAAGGGTGATGGAGGCAACTCCCCTCTGGATCTCACCGGCGCCGCCACCAACATGGTCATCTGGGGCTACTTCGCTGCGAGCTGCAAGGCGCTGAACTGATCACTCTCTTTTCCCCGTCTCCTCTCCACCCCAGGTTTTCTCGCTCCAAGGGGGATGGTGGAATATCTCCATTGGATCTGACTGGTGCCGCCACCAACACGCTCATCTGGGGCTACTCTGCTGCGAGCAGCAAGGCTCTGGACTACCATGGCACCTTCCGAGGCGCTGCTCAGATCAGCTTCAACTGCAACAGCAACGGCGCTGCTGCCGGTAACAGCACGAGCAGCAGCAACGGGAGCAGCAGCAGCAGCAGCGGGAGCAGCATCAGCAGCAGCGGGAGCAGCATCAGCAGCAGCGGGAGCAGCAGCAGCAGTGGGAGCAGCAGCAGTTCAGCTAGCAGCAGCAGCAGTGCAGCTAGCAGCAGCAACAGCAGCAGCAGTGGGAACGGGAGTGGGTGCACTCCGTCATCCATTGCAGGACTCGAATGCTCCACGAAGCTCAGTGGCGACAAGTAAGCTCTCATGTCACATATCAACCCAGACTCAATCCACATCTCATGCATTCCTAGATCTCGAAGATGCTTCCTTTTGCTCCTGAGGTTGCCTTACCCTCTCCTCCCAATTCCCCCCTCTTCCTGCTCCCTACCTTCTACCCAACCAACCCCCCTCAGTTTCCTTCTCCTCTGGAAGGCCAACGCCTCAACCATCAGCTTCGCCTGCGAGGTGGCGACCGGCTGGGTGTCTCGTTCCTTATCCTTTCCTCTCCCCCCCCCCCGGCGCCCTGCCCGCCCCCCGCTCCCTCCCTCCCCCTCTCTCCTCTCATCCCAGTTTCATTCTCCACTGGAAGGCCAACGCCTCAACCATCAGCTTCGCATGCGAGGTGGCGACCGCCGGCTGGGTCTCCCTCGGGTGGAGTGCCGACGGCAAAATGTACCCCGCTGACGCGGCTGTTAGCAGCAGCACTACCGTGGGCCCGCACTCCATCTCCAGTTACACTGCCGTCTCCCCAACCTCCTCCTTCGCCCTGTCTGCCACGGCTGTTGAGACTGGGGCCAACGGCAAGACAGTGGTCAAGTTTACCCGACCCATGTCGGGGGGCTCGTACCCGATCAACGCGAACGGAGTCACCAATCTGATCTGGGCTTACTCGGCTGACGGCTCGCAGTCTCTGGCCAACCACGGGCCGAACAGAGGGTCCGCCTCCATCGATTTCATCTCGGGGTCAACCACAGTCTCCTCCACCTCTGCTCCCTCATCTACTCTTCTGGTGATCCACGGGTGGCTGCTGGGGATTGCCTTTGGGATCCTCATGCCGGCCGCCATCCTCATCTCTCGGATCTTCCTCGCCGACAAGCTCCAAGAGAGGCCGCCTGGTGTGGATCACGACAAGTGGGAGGCCCAGGTGGCGCGCGCGAAATCCTGGAAGCCGATTGCGTTCGAGACGCACAAGTGGATGCAGATCATCGCGGTTGTACTCGCTGTAGGCGGCTGCGTTTTGGCGTTTGTGCAGTCGGGATCGGTGGGGCTGCAGAGCTCCCACGGCCAGCTGGGTCTCGTGCTCTTTGTGCTGATTTTTGTCCAGCCTGTGATTGGCCATTTCCGGCCGAACAAGGGGACGATCAACCGGCCGACGTGGTTCGTTATTCACTGGGTCGTCGGCATGGGGATTGTCGGGCTCGCGTGGGTCAACACGTTCCTCGGGTTCGACATCATGCAGACGAAATACTCGTTCAACCTCCAGGTGGGTTCCTTTGAAGTCAACCACCGCTTGTCTTGGTGTCACTGGTATCCTCATGCTTCTTCTGCTTCTGGTTCTGTTTCTGGTGAATCTCCTTGGGGGTGGTAATGCCTGCCTACCATCCTGGTTAATCTACCAGCATTCATAGCCTTACATTCACACACATGCATGCTTTTGTGCCTTACATCCCTTCTCTTATTTTCTTTCCATGTGCTCTCCTCCCCCCCTCGTTTCTTTATACAGTGGTGCTACATCATCTTTGGGGTCACAATTGGTCTTCTGGGTGCCATCTACATCATCATCTATGTTACGGACCAGGTTGTGGCGCTTATTTCAAAGGTCCAAGCAGCGGCAGCATCGAACGAGGAGAAGGCTGCAGGGAAGGAGCTGGTGGAGCATGCACATGCTGTATAAGAGTGGTGGTACATCATATTTGGGTTCACAATTGGCCTGCTAGGCGCAATCTGCATCGTTTATGGTATGGATCAGGTCGTGGCACTTGAATTGAAGCTCCAAGAGGTGGCAGCATCGAATGAGGAAAAGGATGCAGGAAAGGAGCTGGTGGAGCATGGATTATGGCCATGGCGGTGGCTTGGTTTGCCTTGAGTCGACTCAAAATATGACTGGATATTTTGAGTCGTCTCAAAGCACAGCCGCAGCTTCTGACGGTGAGATGGGTGCAGGGCAGGATATGGTGCAGCACGTATTGGTTTGCTTTTGAAAGCATTTGTAGCCCATTCCTTAAGGATGGTGGACTACTTTGTGTAAAGCAGAAGGTAGAATGATTTGTTGGACGAGATTGTATTATACTTGGTATGTTACAACTGTTTGTTGATTTCTTTCTGCGGTTGGAGAAATTGTGAACCGCCTACGAGTGTATTCACTCAAACCACCACATCACGATCCATCGCCTTGCCACATGGAAATGTGTAACGCAGCGCTCTGTACCGCAGACGGACGATGGAACCTTTTCAAGCGAGGACCATTCCCGAGGAACCTTTCAGCAAGATTTTCCAACGGTCACTTCGAGAGCCACTTCGCTGCCCTGCTAGTCAGTGCAACGCGAAAAGCTGCTGTACTTACATGGGACCTAGCTGGTATTACAGTACCTCCCTCCCTCGCTACACATGATGCCCGCCGGAGGCCTAGCTCAATACGTGGCCCAATCAGGAACCATCGCCCATTAGCGTTGTCACACAGGCAACGGCCCACTCAACGTGGGCCGTGAACAGAGCCAGCAGTGCAGCGTCATCACGACAGCGGTGACAAACATGCGGCACAAGACGAAGGATGTGCGCCGCAACCTTTTTCGCCACAAACTTCCAGCTGCGCTCGGAGTAGCGCTCCGGCGAAGGTCAGCGAGCCTTTCGTTGAGCTCGCAAAATGACACACGCCTCGCTGGGTTTGTTTGTGGCTTGAGCGTCGTCGCATGAAACCGAACGCTGACTTGGCAGCGAAATGGGGTCGCGATGTCCCGATGCCAGGGGTCGTTCTCAACATCCGACAGCCAACCCAGGAACAGACTCGAAAACAAATTCCCACAATCCACGCAGTAGTTATTGTTGCGACACGAACCTTGAATTCGTAATATAAGAAATATTTAGAACACGCCTGTAATATTTGGAGCTGAAATGCGACTCCAACACCTCACCCCATCACACTGAGTATAAAAGAGAGCAAACCAAACCAGAAAAAATCACTCAACATCTCACCCGCCAACCACCACTCTGGTGCTACACCAGGGAAACTCTCTCAAGCTTGAAAGCGTCGAAACTTAACACAAGGTAACTAAGTGAACAATGGCTCGCCAAAATATGCCACTCATACCTACCCCGCAAAACATCAAAATGGTAACCTTCGTGCCCGTGCGAAAGGCCCACATGCCCGTGACGATGCCGTGCGAAACCCGTGCGCGTTTTTGTCTACCGGCACCCTGAAAAGTTGTGTTCCTCTGTCAGGCTCAAGGTGTACCACCCACAACCCGCAGGATCTAGGTAACGGATTGCGACGACGCTCCGGGCCACGCAGGACGGTTCACGACTGGCCGTGTATTTTAGTAGTTCTTGTGTGATGCTGGTAACCGGAAACGCATTGTAACCTCTTTTCGCTAGACACCACGTCCTTTCGTGAGTCTCGCCTCACAGATTTCTCTCCGAAACATAGGATTTGCTAGATTGTGAGTCGGCTGGGATATTTCCTGAATGACGTAGGTTCTGCTCCTTAGGTTTCTCGCTTCCTTGGGCGCTAAGTTTGCTTGCTGCCCAACACCCGAATCTCGTCTGATTAATTCGTCATTGGCGAAGATGAATTCGTCACAGGCGGGTTACTTCGCGAAGCAGGGGCTGAGCATGCTGTACAACGCCACTGTAACGAGCGTGAGTGCGATTGCAACGGGGATAAACAAGGCCTACCAGACGTACACTGACTACTACGAGCGCGACCAGATCGAAGCTCTTAAGAAGTCCGGCAAGCGACCAGCCGACAACCTTTACCTAGGTAATACCATTAGCATTGGATGCCTCTATCTTGGTGACTGTATGCAGTATGTGTATTGTATATTTCTAGTCTGGTTAGCACCGTTGCAAGCGGCGCGAGAGGAGGATTCCACCACCCCATTATTTTTTTGAGTCCACGATCTATGATCACGAGTCCATGTTTCCATTGTTCTATGATACATGACGTCATGATTCCATCCGAGACGTTTTGATTCTATGATTCCGTGACGTCATGGTTCCATGATTCTTCAACCCCAGTCCTGCAGCGCTTCCAGTACCTCAGCATGGTTGGCCACAACAGCAATCAACTCTGTGACCTATCACCCATCTCCCCACAACTCCAAACCCGTGCTTGCAGTCCTGCAGCGCTTCCAGTACCTGAGCATGGCTGGTTACAGCAAGTAACCTTATGTCCCTTACCCCATTCGACACCCCCACTCTCCCTCAATCCCTCATGCCAGTCCTGCAGCGCTTCCAGTACCTCAGTATGGCTGATCACAACAACAAGTTACCCTATGTCCCTTACCTCATGCCCCATACCCCCACTCTCCCTCAATCCCTCATGCCAGTCCTGCAGCGCTTCCAGTACCTCAGTATGGCTGATTACAACAACAAGTTACCCTATGTCCCTTACCTCATGCCCCATACCCCCACTCTCCCTCAATCCCTCATGCCAGTCCTGCAGCGCTTCCAGCACCCCAGTATGGCCGCTACAGCAAAGAGTAACCCTGTGTTCCATCCATGCCCCCTTGCCTGACCCCATCACCCCGTGCTTCCAGTCCTGCAGCGCTTCCAGTACCTCAGCATGGCCGGCTACAACAACGAGGTTGCCGCTGCCGCCCAGAAGGCAGCTGCCAAGCTGGTGAGAGGGACTTGGGTGTTGTCCACTGTACCTTGGGATTGTCAGGTGAACCTTGTGAGGGATTGTAGTACCCCGTGATTTCAGTCGAGCAGCGCTTCCAAGGCCTCAGCATGGCCGGCTACAACAACGAGGCTGCTGCTGCCCAGCTGGTGAGTGTGCCTTGGGATTGTCAGGTGAACCTTGTCAGGGAATGCAAGCAGCGCTTCCAAGGCCTCAGCGTGGCCTCCTGCCTACCACAACGAGGTTGCTACTACCACCCAGAAGGCAGCTGCCAAGCTGGTGAGAGGGCCTTGGGTGTTGTCCACTGTACCTTGAGATTGTCATTTGGACCTTGTCCGGGATTCCAGTGCCACGTGCTTTCAGTCGAGCAGCGCTTCCAATGCCACAACAACGAGGCTGCTGCTGCCCAGCTGCCAACAACAACGAGGCTGCTGCTGCCCAGCTGCCAAGCTGGTGACTGTGCCTTGGGGTGTCAGGTGGGTTATCAAGTGTCCCATGGAATTGTCAGGAGTCTCTTGGGATTGTCAGGCGTGCGTTGGGAATGTGAGGCGTGCGTTTGGGTTGTTGTCAGGTGTAAGTGTTCTTTCCTTCCTTTTCTGGGTTGTGAGTTAAACGCCTTGGAGATCATATCCGTTCTTTCCCAACCAGTCGATGAAACAGCAGGAAAAAAGAGCGCAGAAGCTTATGATACGCTCAGCAGCTGAGCTCTTTTTTCCTGCTGCTAATCCGCGTCCTGCCAGGAGTGGCACAGTGGAACGGGGAGCAGTCAGGGCAGGGGCGGGGGCTGCAGGGCACCCTTTCACAACTCCCCTTTGCCCCTGATCCAATGATGTGCTCCAGACGGCAGGAGAACTGAGCTCAGTGGCGCAAGAGATGCGGCTCCTGCTGACCGCTTGCTGACAGGAGTGGCGCAGCGGTACGGCGAGCAGGCAGGACACATTTTTACACCCTATCTCCCTCCTTCCCCCTTCCCCCTTCCCCCTTCCGCCTTCCCCTTCCCCCTTCCCCCTTCCCCCTTCCCCCTTCCCCCTTCCCCCTTTCCCACCTTTTACCTCAGACTGCTGGAGAGAAGAGCTCAGTGGCACAGGAGACGCTTCTTCTTCTAACCCGCGTGCTGACGGGAGTGGCGCAGCGGTACGGCGAGCTGTCAGGGCAGGGGTGGGGGCTGCAGGACTTCCTCAACCACCGGTTCCCCCGTTGTTTCTCAACCACCCTTCTCTGGTTTCCTTTTCCGACCTTTTCTCTCAGACGGCTGGTGAGAAGAGCTCAGTGGCGCACGAGACACTTCTACTTCTCACCAGGGTGCTGACAGGAGTGGCGCAGCGGTACGGCGAGCAGTCAGGGCAGGGGTGGGGGCTGCAGGACTTCCTCAACTCGTCTCGCATGGGCAAGGACCACTTCGACCGTGACCAGCTCGTCATCGACTTCTACTTCGCCATTCTCTTCGTCCAGGACGTGAGTATCTCCGCCTATTTAGGCCCCCTTAAACTGGTGGAGTACGAGATTGAGTGGGGAGCAGGCAGGACAGGAGTGGGTCAAAACACTCCTGGTTTGGGTGCCTCTCGAGTGAGTGAACGCGGAGCAGTCTGGGCAGGGGTGGGGGCTGCAGGACTTCCTCAACTCGTCTCGCATGGGCAAGGACCACTTGGACCGCGACCAGGACGTGAGTGCCCTCCTCTCCTCTCCTCTTCAGAGCTGCCCGTTGAGTGGAGAGAGAGGGTGAATGGGGGCCCATCAGGGCAATTTTCTAGGCGCCTCAAAAAAGGACCACTTAGACCGCAACCAGCTCGTCATCGACTTCTACTTCGCCATCCTCTTTGTGCCAGACGTGAGTGCCCTCTTCTTGTCTCAGTGCGAGGCGACAGGGAGGCTGGTGAAGGGCGACAAGTACGTCGAAAACATCTCACACACTTCTCTACCCCCCCCCCCCCCTCCCCCCCACGCCCTTCCTCTTCTGCACTTTTATCAGGTGTGTGGGGGACCGGGCCCGCAGTTTGAGCAGGCGATTCGCGAGGCGACAGGACGGCTGGTGGAAGGAGACAAGTTTGTGGGCGAGGGAGGGGGGTTTTCCGGTGGTGGTGCATCCTCCTCCATCCCCTCATATGCTGCCGTGCCGTCAGCCAGTGCCCTGCCTGCTGACCAGGACCCCAAGTGAGTCACTTGCTTCGCCTTTCCTCCTTTCCATGCTCCACCAGTCCCCCATGCTCCACCAGTCCCTCCTCCCCTCCTCCTCCCTCCCTTCCTCCTCCCCTTCTCCTCCCCTCCTCCTCCCCTCGTCCTCCCCTCGTCCTCTCCTCCTCCTCCCTCCCTTCCTCCTCTCCTCCTCTCCTCCTCCTCCCTCCCTTCCTCCTCCCCTCCTCCTCCCCTCCTCATCCCTCCCTTCCTCCTCCCCTCCTCCTCCCCTCCTCCTCCCCTCCTCCTCCCTCCCTTCCTCCCCCCTCCTCCTCCCCTCCTCCTCCCTCCCTTCCTCTTTCCCTCCTCCTCCCTCCTCCCTTTCCTTTCTCCTCCCCTCCTCCTCCCTTTCCTTCCTCCTCCCCTCCTCCTCCCCTCCTCCTCCCTCCCTTACTCCTCCCCTCCTGCTCCCCTCCTGCTCCCTTCCTCCTCCCCTCCTCCTCCCCTCCTCCTCCCCTCCTCCTCCCCTCCTCCTCCCCTCCTCCTCCCCTCCTCCTCCCCTACTCCTCCCCTCCTTCTCCCATCCCTTCCCACTCGGCTGTGCCTTCAGCCGGCGCCCTGCCTGCCAACAAGAAACCCCCCAAGTGAATAAGCCTCCACTTCCCTCCTGTGCTGTTAAAGAGCGATATGTATGTAATGATCGGTCAAGGCAGCAGATGATGCAGACAGCGGGCGCAAGCAGCGCTCACTCAAGGACGCAGAAAAGTTCCCCATCCCTCCCTCCCCACCCCGCTCTCTCCCCCACTCTCCCCGTCCGTCGCCTGTCCTCTGTCCCTGCCGCCACAAGGAAGAAAGGCACGAAGGTGGGTTGGGCGCTGTTGCAAGGTGTGATGCGTCTATTTTTTAGGCGCCTCAAAAATAGGTGTGATGCGTCTATTTTTTAGGCGCCTAAAAAATAGGTGTGATGCAAGCTCATCAACACTTTTCAGGCGCCTCAAAAGTTTGGTGTGTTGCAAGGTGTGATGCAATCTCATCAACACTTTTCCTTGCTGACTTCCGTACCACGGGTGAGGAGTCTATTTTTGAGGCGCCTCAAAAATAGACTCCTCATGCTGTTGCAAGGTGTGATGCAATCTCATCAACACTCTTCCTTGCTGACTTCCGTACCACGGGGACGAAGGCAACGATGGTGGTTCAGGTGCTGGCTGTCACAAGGTGTGACACAACGCAAGCAATCATGTCAATAGATTTCCTTGCTGTCTTCCCCCACCACCAGGAAGAAGGCAATGAAGGTGGCTCGGATGTTCCCATAGGCAGTGCGAGGCGTCAGGCGGTGCAGACGGGCGCAAGCAGCGCTCACTCAGAGGCAAAAGAGTTGCTTTCACACTCAGCTCATGCCTTCATGCAATCACCCCTGTCCCTCCCACGCCACCCCTTCCCCTGATTTTGCAGGGTGTTTTTGAGAATTCTTAAAAACACCCTGAGAATTCTCAAAAACACCCTTTCACACTCAGTTCATGCCGTCATGCAATCACCCCTGTCCCTCCCACCCACGCCACCCCTTCCCCTGCCCCACCAGGAAGACGGCAATGAAGGTGGTGCAGGTGCTGTCTCAAGCTGTGCGCAATCACACTTGTCCCTCTTCCTTTCCTCGTTGCCTTGCTCCTTGTCTCCCCCTCCTCGGTGTCTCCCCCCCCCCACCAGGAAGAAGGCAATGAAGGTGGTGCAGGTGCTGTCTCAGGCCGTCCGCAAGGCAGCAGAGGACGCAGACGGGCGCAAGCAGCGCTCGCTCAAAGACGCAGAGGAGATGCTTCGAAGGGAGAACGAAAAGGCAGCCGCAGCTGCCGGTATTGGTGGGTATGGTGGTGCGGCCGTGCCTGCTGCCAAGCCTCTCAGCAGCTTTGGCGGCGGAGCCTCGGCAGCGGCGCCAGTGGGTGGTTATGGCTCATCTGCTGGTTTGGCCGCCAAGCCTAGTAGTGTGTCGAATTGGGGCGGGGGGAGCGGGGCAGCAGCAGCGGCACCTAGCCCGTGGGGTGGGGGAGGAGGAAGCGCCTTGGGGGGGCCAGTGGGGGGGACGATGGGGGGAGCTGTGGGGGGGAGTACCTGGGGAGGGGGGAGTGCGAGTGTGGGGGGGGCGGGGGCATTCGGGGGAGGTAGCAGTGGTGGGGGGTGGGGGGAAGTGCGTCGACAGGAGGGGGAGGAAGTGCGTGGGGGGCAGGGGGGCAGACAGGGGGAGGCGCAGGGGGGAGTGCAGGGGGGTGGGGGGGAGCGACAGGTGGCAGCACGACGGGAGGGAGCTCTGGCTGGGGCACTGGCAGCGGTGGCAGCTTGATATAGTAATTGCGGAGCACAGAGGCACATATGGTGTTAATTTGAGGTGGTGTCGGGGCATGCGTAGCAGGCTCTGCAGTGGTGCATGACAGGAGGAGTTGATTTGATATGAGTGACAGGGGAGCAGAGCAAACAAGGACACCAGGGCAGGGGGGCAGGCAGGGGGAGGCGTTGGGGGAGGCGTAGGGGAAGGCGCAGGGGGGGGCGTAGGGGGAGGCGTAGGGGGGAGTGCAGGGGGGTGGGGTGGGGGGGGAAGACAGGTGGGAGCAACACAGGAGGTAGCTCTGGCTGGGGCACTGGCAGCGGGGGCAGCTTGATATGACTGAGAGGGGAACACAGATGGTGACAGCAACACAGATGGTGTTGTTTATGTAAGGTGGTATGTTAGCACAGTCAACAGGCACTCTGCAGTGGTGCACAACAGGAGGGGGTCTGGATGGGGCACTGGCAGTGTTGGCAGCTTGATATGATTGTGCTTCTGTCCCACATGGTGCTGATACATACGTCTTGCTGTAGCAGCAGGCTTTGTTGATATGGCTCGGTGTTTTTGTGGCTCGGCGTTTATGTGGCTCGGCGTTTACGTGGCTCGGCGTTTACGTGGCTCGGCGTTTACGTGGCTCAATGTGTCACTGTACCGGCACCTCTGGAGATGGCTGTACTGTGTGACGGGCTCTGTTTATATGGCTCAGCGGGTTGCCACCACCAACCATAGTACCGGTACCTCTGGCTGCTGGATATGGTGATCCTGTTGAGTGTGGGAGTGTGGGTAATGTTACAGAATTCTTATTGCCTTCATATAAGATGACATACACTCTACAACCAGCAGACCCTCAAGGTGTTTATCCATTTCAAAAATGGAAAAATTGAAAGCAATTAATTATGTAGGCTAAATAAATATGTGTTACAGTATCAGGCACCCTCACTACTACAGTAGTGTAGGTATGTTGCCCATTCTGAGGTTACCGGTGTTATCAGGCACCACTGTAGTTAGCTTCTTCCTCCACACCCACACTGCTCCCTCACCTCACCTCACCTCACCTCACCTCACCACCATGCTGTCCCCTTCATGCTTCCAAATTACGCTGCTTCTTCCTCCTCTGCTGCTCCTGCCGCATCTGCTAAAAAATCTCTAGCTCCCCCCCTCCCCCACACCCTTTTATCCTTCCAAACTGCGCTGCTTCTTCTGCCTCCTCCTCCACCTCTGCTCCTGCCGCATCTGCTGAGCTGGTGACAGGTGTGCATTATAAGGGGGTGCGTTCACTCCCATTACAGGCACACTCGGCTGAGCCAACACCCCACCTGCCCCCATTACCCCCACTCCTGCCCTTCCAACCACCCCTGCCCCCCCAAACCCACCTAATCCCATCCACCCCCCGGCTCCCCCGCCCATTCCTACTGCGCCCATAACCCTTGCCCCTGCCCCTCCCATCCCTGCTGCCCCCATAACCCCTGCCCCTGCCCCTCCCATCCCTCCTCCTCCTCCCATAACCCCCACCCCTCCTGCTCGCGTCCCTGCCATTCCTTGCGCGCCCATAACACCACCCATACCACCCGAACCAGCAACACCACCCATAAAACCCGAACCAGCAACACCAGCACCACCAACGCCAGCACCAGCAACGCCAGCACCAGCAGCAGCACTAGCAGTTCCGGGGTTGGCTCTCATGCCTGCATAAGCAGCACTATACCCCATGGGGAGCGGAGTGTTCCCAGCAGAATTAGGGGCCTGAGTAGTCTGGGCAGCGGCTGGTGATGTGCGAAGGTGGGAAGCACCAAGGCTAGCGGACGTGCTGCTAGCTCCAGGTGCTAGGCCAGGTGAAACCTCAGGTGGAGATCCCATTCCACCTGCAGGAGTTTTAGCAGAAGAGAAGGCAGCAGAGGCAGCAGAGCCCCTGACAGCTGTCCCTGTGCCGCCCAAGCGAAAGGGAGCACCACCAGAGCTAAGTGCGTTTGACTTCACTGCTTGCTGCTGATGCTGCTGCTGCTGCTGCTGCTGCTGCTGCTGGTACTGGGAGGGCTGGTACAGTGGCAGCTTCTGTTCCAGTGGCTGTTGCTGCAATTTCCCCTGCTGCCGCTGCTGTTGCTCCTCAACTCCCCCCATACCTCCCCCCATGCTCCCTCCCCCCATACTTCCCCCCATGCTTCCTCCACCCCCCATGCTTCCCCCCCCCATTCTCCCCCCCCCATACTTCCCCCCACGCCCCCTCCACCCGTGCTCTCCCCCATGGGCCCCCCCACGGAGACAACCACCCCCTGGGCGGCGAGCTGCGTCTGTATCTGCCCCATCTGTAGCTGCAGCTGCTGTAGCTGCGACTGTAGCTGGATGGACTGTGTCTGACACTGCTGCAGCTGCTGTAGCAGCTGGGAAGTGCGAATCTGATTCTCTATTGTGCTCTGCGCATTCCCTTGCCTATGTGCATTCCGATGCCCGTTCCCATGCCCATAGGTATGTGTCTGTGCATGCCCATGCGTCTGCCCCTGTTGCTGCCCCTGCAATTGAGTGGTTGTTGTGGGAGTGGTAACTGCCCCCATTGTCCCCCCCATCGTTCCCCCCATCGTTCCCCCCATTGTTCCCCCCATCATTCCCCCCATCGTTCCCCCCATTGTTTCCCCCATCACTCCCCCCATCACTCCCCCCATCACTCTTCCTTTACTATCCCTCCCTGTCTGAGACTGTGCCTGCTGGCCGAATTGCACCTGAGAATTCACCTGACTCTGTTGCCCCACCTGACCCCCCTGCTGCTGCAACCCCCCTCCCCCAACCGTTTCCGCTTTCATCCCCCCCCCTCCGCCACCCCTTCCCCCATAACTCCCCTCCTCCTCCCCTTGCCCCCCCACGTTTCCCCCCTGCCCCCCCTGCGCCCCCTCGCCTCCCCCATCCCCTTCCTCCCCCCCACAATCTTCTGGCGAGTACAAAGTGTAGAGGCTATTAAGGGAGCATTTGGCCTCGCGTAAAACTTCCTCCAGGGTGAAACCAGCCATGAACAGTAGAGTAACGCCCAGCGACCTGAAGAATCTCCTGCCCACGTGGGCCATGCCCGCTGCTTCGGCCAGGTGGGAGGCGAAGCGAGCGAGGGTAGTGCGCCCCATGGCGTTACGGACGTACCTGGTTGAGATGGGGTGGGGGGGGGGAGGGAGGGGGGGAGGGGGGGAGAGGGAGGGGAAAGAGAGTGTCGGGTTGGTACACAGGAAGTGGGGAAGAACCGCCTGCCCACGTGGGCCATGCCGGCTGCATCGGCCAGGTGGGAAGCGAAGTGAGTGAGGGTTGTCGTGCCCATGGCGTTACGGACGTACCTGGTGTGGGTGTTATGTGGGCTTGGGAGGAAGGGGGGGGGAGTAGAGGGGGGGGGGTTGTGGGTGGGGACATAACGGCTGGGTTCACGAATAGTAGAGTAGCACTCAGCTTTTTGGTCGAATCAAAGGAAGAGAGGGGAGGGGTTGTGGGTGGGGACATATAGGCGGGGCTCATGAACAGTAGAATAACGCTCTGCGAACTGAGGACTCTCCTGCGAAAAAAGCAGACGAAACAGAGAGGCTTTCTTTATCCAGAAACCATGGCGTTGCGAACGTACCTGGTTGAAAGAGGGTTTGGTGGGGGGCGGATGGGGGAGGGGAGGGAATGTGGGGAAAGGGAGTGTGGGGAAAGGGAGTGTGGGGTTAGTATACAAGAAAAAAAAAGGAGGCTTTGTTGATCCAGAAACCAGTACCAGCTCCCCTGATAAGGAGTGGGGTTCGATACTAGAACGCGCAAGGGCGAGTTTCACCTACAGAAATAGGCACCATTGAGCCAGAACCCACTGCAAGCTCACCTGTTAAGAGGCTCGTACGAAGGCGCGCGCGCAAATTTCGCCGACAGAAACAGGCTTGGCGGAGCTCCGGCCGGCCGCATCCGAGCCTCCTCGTCCACAATCCGGACCGGGCACAGGATCGGATTCTGCGGGTTCGGAAAGAACTGCTTGTGAACGAGGCTCGGAGCCAGGTTCGCGGGCGGCACAAAGGCCACATGCTCCCCGGGAAACTGTGCCGATAAGTACGACGCCCCCCGGTTTAACACCACGAAGTGGCCGAACTCGAGCTTTAAGAGGTCGTCGATGCCGTGGCGCACGGCCAGGGTTGCGAAGACGATGAGTTTGCGCATCGTGTGGGCGACGGCGGTGGGCTTGGAGAGCGCCGGACTCGCCATCATGCGGCGGACGTCGCCTAGATGCAGGGCGTGGCTCGCTGACCCGCGCGGTTTTCGTTTTCGCTTCCTGCTGCCCGCTTCCTGCCTGCTGCTAGTAGCACCACCACCTGCTGCTGCTTCTGCTGCTGCTGCTTCTTCCTCTCCCCCTTCCTCCTCCTCCTCGTCCTCCTCCTCCGCCTCTTCTTCCTCCTCTTCTCCCTTAAACCCCTCGTTTCGAACATCCACCTCCACTAAAGGTTCCTCCTCCGTCCCTCCTACGTTCATATTACATTCAGATTCTACTGCTTTCTCAAGCCCCCCTCCGTTCATCACACCCCCATGGCTGCATTCATCCTCCGTCTCCTCCTCGTCCTCCTCGTCCTCCTCGTCCTCCTCCCCCTCCTCCTCCTCCTCTCTCTCCTTTTTCTCTGTACATTTTTCCTCCGCCTCCCTTCCCTTTGCTCCTCTCTCCTCCTCGCCTCTGTCCTCATCTGGTGCCTTTGCCTCACGCTGCCCCTCCTCTGACTGCTTCTCCTGGCTTGCCGTTTCTGTACCAGCTGTAGCAGCATCTGTAGCAGCATCTGTAGCACCATCTGCATCATCACTAGACGGCAGCTTCCGACTTGCTCCCTTATTGACTCCCACTATTTGATCAGATACAGGCTCATCCGCTATAGGAGCCTCTACTATCGAAGCATCCGTTATAAGAACATCTGACACAGCAGCGTCACCTGATAGAAGCACGGCTCCTCCAGCAACAGCAAAGAGGGCAGCAGTCACAGCCTCTGCTTCCGCCATAGTCACTCCATCCAGCTCCTCAGCATCTCCCCCCGCCATAGTCACAGCCACTTGATCCAACCCCTTAGCATCATCCCCCGCCATAGTCACATTTCCATCACCAGCAGGGCCAGCAGCAGCAGGGCCAGCAGCAGCAGGAGCAGCAGCATCCACTTGTTGCCCGCCTTGTTCAGGTATTTCGGTGACATCAGCATGGCCGGCAGCAGCAGCAGCCAGACCAGCAGCATCACCAGTGCCACCGAAGCCATTTTCTCTGCTCTTCTCTCCCTTGTTCTCCCCATTCTCCTTACCCTCCCGCTCATCGTTCCCTCGCTTTTGAGTCGACTCACAAGCAGTCTTCTCTCCCTTGTTCTCCCCATTCTCCGTACCCTCCGCCTCATCTTTCCCTTGCTGGTCCGTTTCGTTCTCCTCGTCTCCAGCATCGCCTGAATCGCCTCCCCCAGTACCACCTGAATTATCTTCTAGATCGCCTCTTAGCTCGTCGCCACTACAGCCATCCCCCGCCTCCACGGCTGTAGCCGCCTCCACGGCTGTAGCATCTTTCCCCGCGTCCCCAGTGTCGACTTTTTCAGCGACCACTCCATCATTAGTTAAACCGTCACTAGTTAAACCGCCAGTAGTTAATCTGTTGCACTCGGCGTCGCCCGCTGTTTGCTCTGCGACCATCTCGTCGCCCACCGTTTGCTCTGCGACCATCTCGTCGCCCGCCGGTTGCTCGTCAGGCGGCTTCTCCTGGCCTCCTTCCTTGGCGTCCGCTGCAGCGCCCGTCGTAAGTCCCGCTGTCTCGCCTGCTCTCTCCCCTGTTGTCTCGCCTGCTCTCTCGTCTGCCGCAGTCTCGGCTGTAGCGTTCGGTATAGCGTCAACCGTACCATCCACTATAGCGTCAACTGTAGCGTCGGTTATATCTTTGCTTGCGGCGTCCACTAAAGCGTTCGCGGACTGTGGTTCTTTCTCCGAGGCAGACGGCTCGTCAGCTGCGCGCTGCTGCTCGTCGCGATCGCTGAGACGTCGATCGGACCGAGCGTCGTGAGTTTCTTCTTCCGTGTCCTGACGGTGAGCCTCTGTAACGCCCTTACTAACGTCCTCCCGACCCGCGATTGCTGGGTGTGCACTGGGAACCGAGCTAGCTCCTGGAACTAAGCTAGTTAGAACAGTTGCACCGTCGCCGTCTTCAGCCATATTTTTCTCTCGAAACAAAGCGGAATCTACGCTGGCTCCAGGACCGAGTCGCGATCCCAATTTACGGAGGTAAAATGTTTCAGAAGGTGGAGATTACATCAGAGTAGGCTAAGGCCACTGGGCATTGCAAATCGCTTTATTTATCCTCGGACGTAGTTCCGCTGGTAGGGAGAGCGAAATTATCCGACAATCAGCAACTCGGGCTGGGAAAGAGATCGCTGAACTCGGCCAAACACCGTGCGATGTTCCCAAGGGGCTGCAGAAAACGATTCCGCAAAAGTTTTGTTCGAAGAATGGGAAGAAAAGGGAGGGACGGATGGGCTCTGGCGTGCAGCGAACCATTGGCTGCCCGATGGGGATGTTCGAGGTGAGCATAATGACAAGGGATGGGCAGCCTGAGCATTTCGATAGGGTTTCGAACGCTGCCCACGAGCTGGTGTTGTGGTGGCAATTTACACCGGGCAGGCGATGGGGAGGGAAGCACGGATTGTGGTGGACCGTAACGGAATCTGATCGTCCGTCCAAATTGCAATCCAGCGGCCGAGCGCAGCTCCAGCCTTATCCTTGATTCTTCACATCTCCGGGTTTAATATATTGTCTTCGCGTATACTTTTAAAGAGCGGTACTGTATTCACATCATCGAGGCTGACAGTGACGAAGACGCAGGCTCGGGGAACCGGCAGCCGGGGAACAATCTAGAGTTTGGCTTCTACCCTACCCCTATGGCTGCTAGATAACTTGGCATGTGTCTACGACTGAAGTATTTTCGCTCTCTCTGCTTTCTAAGCTCAGCCTGCTGTAGCAAGCAGCTAGCATCAGAATGTGTTTGCGCGCGTCGTCGCCTTAGCTCTAACCGCGCCCCTGTGCTTCAATTCAGCATTTTCCGTCCTAAGAGTAACTGATTAATTCCTAGTGCATCGTACTCCAACCCTCCAGTCATGGCTAGGCCAGGAAACCCCGGCTCTCGCCGTTCGCCGCACGCCAAGGGAGGAAAGTTCGGGCAGCAGAAAAAAGGGCAGAAAAACAACAAGCACCAGTACCAGAAACCCCCGTCGAAGCTACAGCTAGAGGTCGCGGAAATCCGCCAGCTAGAAGCGCGGATCGCCGCGGGCGCCCCCGCGCCGGGCTCGAACCCCCTAGCCGCGGATCTCGCCGCTCCCCCCGCTCCCCCCGCGCCAGCGAACAACAAAGATAAGAAACGGAATGCGTCTAAGGAAGGGTTGCCCGCGGCGGCAGCGGGAGGCGGGGCGGCGGGCGGGAAGGGGGAATTGGAGCCGTACGTCGGCGCGAAGCTGTTCGAGGATCTGCCGATCTCGAAGCGCACGATGCGCGGACTAAAGGTGAGATTCAGAGTTTATTCGAGAGTTTAGTGTGCAAACTGGGGGTTAGTCTGCAGCAGCGGGAGGGGGATTGGATCTTAGGGTTTTAACGTCCGATGGTGATCTGTAAACGTCTGATTGGACGTTTGAATCGTCAGGCGGTTTGGAATCTGATTCTTCAGCTTGGCATCGTGTCAAAGTCTCTCTCCGAATTCCCGTTGTCCCCCTTTTTCATGCCACGTGGCGCAACAGGATTCGGAGTATGTCCACATGACGGCCATTCAGCGAGCCGCGATTCCCCACGCCCTGTGCGGGAGGGACGTGCTGGGAGCAGCCAAGACAGGCTCCGGCAAAACCCTTGCGTTCATAATTCCCGTAAGCTGAGCTTTATATGTGCTCACCAGCGCGCTGCCATTCCCCACGCGCTGTGCTGGAGAGACGTGCTGGGAGCAGTCAAGTCAGGGTTCATGATTCCCGTAAGTTTAGCTTTATATGTGCTCACCAGCGAGTTGCCATTCCCCACGCCCTGTGCGGGAGAGGCTTGCTGGGAGCAGCCAAAACAGGGTTGGGCAAACTCCTCGCCTTTATTATTCTGGTGAGTTGGACTAGTCGGCTCGTTAATTCTTAGCCGTTACCCAATTTCTAGTTTAGCCGTTACCCAATTTCTAGTTTAGCCGTTACCCAATTTCTTTGCAGGAGTAAAACCCCGTGCCGTGTGGCAGGTTTTCCAAACCCAAAACCGATTCTTGTTTAGTCGTCCTGTTGGCATATCCTCCTTTTGAAAAGTCTCTGAACTGTTTCACAAAAATCGGTGGTCGCATCGCATCTTGATAGGCTGGTGCCAATTCTCATTTTTTGAGCTGCCTTGCTCGCAACAATACCCCCATTATCTTAATCTCTTCGCCAATAATCTCTTCACCCCCACCCCACCAGCTTTTGGAGAAGCTCCATCAGCAGCGGTGGTCGCACTTGGGCGGTGTGGGTGGGGGGCGTCGGCACAGGGTCACCTAGCTTCCTCTGTAAACCATGCTTTTCTCTTCCCCGCCCTTTTGAGGAGTCTGTTTTTGAGGCGCCTCAAAAACAGACTCCTTCCCCCCGTTGCCTCAGGATGCCTGCCCCTTCACCTTTTTTCTCTGTATCTCGTTTTGAGGCGCCTCAAAAATACGCGAGGAGTCTATTTTTGAGGCGCCTCAAGAATAGACTCCTCAGGATGCCTACCCCTTCACCTTCTTTCTCTGCATCTCGATTTCCCCCGTATCAACTGTAACTTCAGCTTCTGGAGAAGCTGCACCGGCAGCGGTGGTCGCACGCACATGGACGGGGTGGGCGGTGTCAGCAAGTGTCACCTAGCTCATGCTTGCCTCTTCCCCTCCCTTCTCTCTTCAGCTTCTGGAAAGCTGCACCGGCAGCGGTGATCGCACGCACACGGACGGCGTGCGCGGCATAATCATATCGGAGACACCTCACCCCAGGATGTTCCTTATCCGTCTTGCCCTGCATCTGCCGATGCCCCTAACCGTATTCTCAGCTTCTGGAGAAGCTGCACCGGCAGCGGTGGTCGCACGCACATGGACGGCGTGCGCGGCATAATCATATCGGAGACACCTCACCCCAGGATGTTCCTTATCCGTCTTGCCCTGCATCTGCCGATGCCCCTAACCGTATTCTCAGCTTCTGGAGAAGCTGCACCGGCAGCGGTGGTCGCACGCACATGGACGGCGTGGGCGGTGTTTTGACAGTTTAAGCCGTAAAAAAACGTAGACATTTCCCACTTCCCTTGCATTGATTTCGTCAGCTTCTGGAAAAGCTGCATCGGCAGCGGTGGTCGCACATGGACGGCGTGGGCGGCATAATCATATCGCCCACCCGGGAGCTTGCCACCCAGATCTTCAACGAGCTCAAGAAGGCCGGCCGGCACCACCCGTTTTCGGGCGGCCTGCTCATTGGCGGGCGAGCTGGGAGCGTGGAGAAGGAGAGAGACAGGGTGCAGGTGGGTGTGGGTGGGTGCAGGTGGGTGGGTGGTCAAGTGTGCTTGTTCCATGATCACGTTAAGCAACAGCACAATATCCGCAGAGGTCTGCTCATTGGCGGGCTTGCTTGTTGATCTTGCTAGGCAGCAGCATGTGAAGGGTGATTGTTTGCCAATTGGTGGGCGTGGAGGAGCGTGGAGAAGGAGAGGCAGCGAGTGCAGGTGGGTGGGTGGGTGGGTGGGAGAATATTCGCATCAGTTGGTTAAATTTCTTGGCGGAACGCCCAGTTGTTGGCTAAAATTTCCAGGAAATGGACGAGTCAAGATTGACGGTACTCTCATGTTGTAGGTGATTTTTGAGAATTCTAAAAGCTCACCTTTTTTTAGAAATCTCAAAAATGGATGAGTCTAGATTGACGGTACTCTCCTCCCCTCTCACCACCCCCAAACCCTTATCCTCCCCTTCCCCGCCCTTCCTCCCCTTCCCTGACCTTCCTCCCCTTCCCTGCCCTTCCTCCCCTTCCCTGCCCTTCCTCCCCTTCCCTGCCCTTCCTCCCCTTCCCTTCCCCACCAGTAGCTCAACATCCACCTCTGCAAGCCGGCCCGGTCGTCCGTTGCACCATATGGAGGAGTCAAGATGCTCCCTGTATTCCCTCTCTTTCCTACCCCCCTCCATTCTCCCTTCCCCTCCCCCCCCTCCATTCTCCCTTCCCCTCCCCCCCTCCATTTTCCCTTCCCGTGGCCTGTCCCACCAGTCGCTCAACATCCTTGTCTGCACGCCCGGCCATCTGCTGCAGCATATGGATGGCTCAAGATGCTCCCTCTCTTCCCTCTCTTCTCTTCCCTCTCTTCTCCTCCCTCTCCTCTCTTCCCTCTCCTCTCTTCCCCTCCTCTCTTCCCTCTCTTCCCTCTCTTCCCTCCATTCTCCCTTCCCATGGCCTGTCCCACCAGTCGCTCAACATCCTTGTCTGCACGCCGGGTCGTCTGCTGCAGCATATGGACGAAACTCCTAATTTTGACGCATCCAATCTCCAGGTATTGTACCAATCAGCAACGAAGACCAATAGGTGGCTTCACTAGTTGAGCGGAATGGCGGACCGTGGAGTGGAGCATAAGCGAGAAATCGTAGGATAATAACTCGGGTTTACAGGAGCCGTTATGATGCTTGGAACGTGAAATTTCAGCACAAGTTGCATCCCCACTGGGGAATCCTGGTACAAAGAATATTTGTCATATTGGTGCAAAGAATATTGGTCATATTGGTGCGTTTAATATTGGTCATATTGGTGCATAGAATATTGGTCATATTGGTGCATAGAATATTGGCCATATTGGTGCATAGAATATTGATCATATTGGTGCATAGAATATTGGTCATGTTGGGGCGTAGAATATTGGTCATATTGGTGCGTAGAATATTGGTCATATTGGTGCATAGAATATTGGTCATATTGGTGCATAGAATATTGGTCATATTGGTGCATAGAATATTGGTCATATTGGTGCATAGAATATTGGTCATATTGGTGCATAGAATATTGGTCATATATGATATTGGTGCATAGAATATTGGTCATATTGGAGCATAGAATATTGGTCATATTGGTGCATAGAATATTGGTCATACATGTATGGAAAGTTGCGCTCTCATCCTTTTAAGCTTCTACGTGTTTAGGTTCCATCCAGGTCCTTGTCTACCCTCTTCCTCAATGGTGTCCATCATTCCATCCGGGTTTTAGATGGACGTTTTTTATACCGACGCTTTTCTCCTCCCCACTCCTGTCCTTATTCCCTCTCCCCGGCGCCTCTCCCTTCACTCTC